TAAACTGATACAGAGATTGTTTAAATATTTCATTTGCTAAACTTATATATAGACTGTTTAAATATTTCATTTGCTAAACTTTGATATTGACTGTTTGATATATTACTTTTGCGGGGGAGGGGGGGGGGGGAGGGTGTTTAAGGGGGGGGGGGGGGGGGTGTAGGGGGTGCGGGCCGTGGTTCGTACATATACCTGATACAGGCAAAGGGCTAAATGCAGTGGAGGAGAAACGCGGAAGCCTCATCTGAATTGTTGATAGCACTGACGTGATGGTATTCCGGGCGAGTTTAAGATAATAGCGGATGTTATTGAACTCAAATACTCTCTGGTATTGTCAGAAGAATTGTCACTTGAAGACAACAACAACACGACACCCATCAGTGAATGGAGAAAGTTGATATGTCTAATAAAGATGCACATTTTTCTGACGTAACAACGTACGATCTCGACACGAATTTCGACAAACACGTGAAGCTAGAATCCGCTGTAAGCTTATTGTCTCATGGGGGTATAAACATATCGGTTGTAGCTAGAACTAAATATTTTAGATGTCTAATGAAAAAACAGCAAAATAAACATTCTTAAATTTCTGTAAGCATACACGATGCCCATTAACGTCTCGTCACCACATTACATTTATTAAATTAGCCTTCTCATTGAGAACCGGGACAACCCAATGTCGGTAAACCGAGTCACTGGGATAGTTAGGGGTGAATGTTATGAAAATTTATATTTGAAGTCTAGACCAATGACCGAAAACAATCACAATACAGATAAATCAAACATATTGTACATGTGTATGCCAATAGTATTGTTATCATTTTTCTCTCCTCTCCCACCCTGATGATAATTTGTTGTTTACTGTACACAACCCCACGGATATTAGCGGTTTATGCTCAGGCGTACTGAACGACCAAGTGTTTGCCTTTGATCATTAGAATTCTTCCCACTCATAAACCCACAGCTATCGTAAAACCTCGCGAGATATTTCGTGAGTCCTTGGTGATAGTCCCCTACTACTACCCTCAAGGAGGCGGGCCACTGGACAGGACCTCTTACGATCTCACGGTTTGAAGGACCCCAAACTGGTGGATGAGATAAAGAAACAATTCCCAACACGTTCGTCGCTGCGTGGTTTCTGAAGTCATCATGACTCTAAGAGAATTGGGAATTTATCACATTCTCAGCATTTCTCTGTGATACGGAGCCGCCCTGGAATGCTTGTATTGTGGACTGTTAGTGTTGCTGTTTGCGAGTGAGTGAGTGTGGTTTTACGCCGCTTTCCAGCAATATCACGGCGAGGGACACCAGAAATGGGCTTCACACATTATACCCATGTCGGGAATCGAACCCGAGTCTTTGGCGTGACGAGCGAACACTTTAACCACTAGGCTACCCGACCACCCCTGTTCGCGAGTACAGACTTCAGTGAGTGAGGAACCTCTTTGAACAGTGTTCCAAATGACGAAGAACGTTTATGTTTACCAATGCTGTGCCGTGGTGCTCACAGACCAAAGAGTGAGTGATTATTGTTTTACGCCGCATTATCAATCTTGCAGTTATTCCAGCAAAATAGGGGCGGTGAAGTAGCCTAGTGGTTAAAGTGCTCCCTCGTCACGCTGAAGACCCGGGTTCGATTCCCCACATGGGTACAATGTTTGAAACCCGTTTCTGGTGTCCCCCGCCGTGATTTTGCTGGAATATTGCTAAAAGCGGCGTAAAACAACACTCACTCACTCACTCCCAGGGAGACAAGAAATGATCATAATCAGATCATGTATGATTCGATCTCATCATCCAGCACAATCCCCTAAATAATGAATCCTGTTTAGTGAAAATTATTTATGATAATTTTAAACCCAATAGCTACTATTTCAGTATATTTATTGTTCCGCAGTGAATGCAATGTGTTACTTTGTGATATAAGGTATTTATCAATGTCCTAGTATTGGCATAGTATTAGGACATTGGCGTGTACATGTCGTGCACCGGTTGAAGAGATACGCTACTTAGCAAAGTTACACGCCTCACTAACGTAGACTGTTTTCGTGCATGGAGACATGTATTACCCTTAGCCACATTAACATCTACTCTGAACCAGTAAAGTGATTGCTGGGATAGTGCAAAGGTCAAGCTTGAAAACAGATCGATAATAAACTTCGCCTGTTGACGAAGACAACACGGTCCGATCAAAACAAACAACCCGAAATGAATACCCCGTCAAAGGCACTTGAAATTCACGACGAGGGAGCCCAATTTGTGTACGATTTACGATCAGGATAATTCTTAATTTGTTAATCAGCAGCCTTACTGACGTCATGCCGACCGCGGAGACTGAACGTGTTCGTTGAGGAAGTTCGGTGGGGCAGACCCTCCCTTGTCATGATCGTTATTGATCACGTATAGTGTGTGAGTGGGATGGTTTAAGTGTCACAGCGTGTCGGGTTATCGCTGGAGGAAAGTCAATACTGATGTAGGTCTTAACTTAACGTTTACTACATGGTGAAACCCACGGGTATAGTGCTAACAAATCAAGGACATAATCTGGGATTCGAATCCATGATCATTGGATCCTTGTACGCATAAGGGAGGCAACTCTATACAACTTATGTCGGCGTCCCTGTGTCTCTTATTTAATGAATTAATATTAATTCCCGTGGGGAATGGGGGTCAGAAAACATCCATACCTATGAGGCGACCAGGTGAGTCTGGTGGTCAGTCTCGGCCAGGTAGTCGCTCATAATATCAGTTACTGGATTGTCTGGCCTATTTGTTACAAGCTGCCGTCATTTAGCTGGCATTTTGCTGAGTACGGCGTCAAACAACAAAGAAAGAAAGAAACAATCAAACAAAAATACAAGTACAGTAAACTACGTTTATAACGAACACTCTTCTAACGAACTGACCGATATAACGAACTTATATTTTAGTCCCGACCATTTGTTGTACATATGCTGTATATACGCTTATAACGAACTACGGTTATTACGAACTAAAATAAGAGGTCTTTTGGAGTTCGTTATAATCGTTGTTAGTATTAGTAATGTCAGTTTCTGGGCCCAGGTTGAGTGACACCAAAGTTTGTGATAAAATATTTCGTAAAATAAAACACAGTTTTTGTCGAGAGAAGCGGATATGTCAAGGCATACTTGGACACTGCATATCTTTCACCGGGTATAGGTACAAATGTACTGGAATATTTTGATTTACATAATTTACATAAATACACTATTTACACATCTCCAGCAATAATTTAACGTTGTATATTGTTGACTTAGTATAAGTAGCAATATATCGTAAAATTGAAAAAAATAAATGAGCAAATATTATTTGACGCAAACTCATCTCTGAGAAACCCCATGGATATTTTCAAACACAATGTGAACACTGTCCCACAATATAAATACCTGGATGATGACATATATATTTAAATAAAATATGCAAAAATAATTCGATATCATTTTTAAAGTTTTAAAACTATTTTGACTAAGAAAAGGCAATGTATGTGTATGTAAAAATACGGAGCTGCCTGCCGATTATTAGGAAGGTGTCAAATCAGTATTCTATGAACGCCCCATTACATACCTGCTTTGTGTTCCTTGTATATAGCTTACTGAAGACAAAAGGAAATATATACTTCAAAAAAGGATTCGACCAATTTATTTATTTTTTTAAATTACGAACGTTACCTAAACGTTATATAAGGCTGAAAACAGTCACCGGAGCACTGATAAATTAAGGTCCAAAACATACTATGATACCCGTATCAAATACATCAGCATCGAAAAAACATTTCTTGTTTGTTTCCTTTTTGGCCCCCTCACACTTGTGTGTGTACTTTCCTTTGCCCGACGACCCGTGAAGATCCGGGGTAGAATAGGTCTTCAGCAACCCATGCTTGCCGTAAAAGGCGACTATGCTTGTCGTAAGAGGTGGCTCACGGAATCGGGTGGTCAGGCTCGCTGACTTGGTTGATGCATGTCATCGTATCCCAATTGCGTGGATCGATGCTCATGACGTCAATCCATGGATTGTCTGGTCCAGACTCGATTATTTACAGACCGCCGTCACTCAGCTAGAATATTGCTGAGTGCGGCGTTAAACACCAAACAAACAAATTTTGCCCGACAGTTTATATAGCGTCTTAAAATATTGAATATTGGACACGAATGACACAGCACCGAAAAAAGCTGATTATACGCCACATAATGTACACCCTAAAGGTAGATAAATATGAAGCAAGTATTTAATGTGGGATTCGGATGAAGCGATACTTTTACAGAAATGTAAAAGTCCAATAAAACAGTTTTCACAATACTGGTTTGCTACGGTTAAGTGCCAGGAATCCTGGATATATTTACTACTCTGACTATACGTAACATTTATTACCTGAATAATAACAAAACTCCGGGAAGCCAAATGTGGAAGATATTAAACACAAATTAGTGGTTTAAAATGTCCATTGAATACAGACTAGGGAGAAGCCCCAAAACTAACCCGAACAATCATATTGTCACCTAATGTCTTCTCTGTGAAGACAATATTGTGGAAAATCTTATACAAAATTCTACTCTGTATGACAATTATTCGATTGCTTGACAGTGTTTGACCTTGATTGTTTGACTATTCGTACGTACCCCTGTTTGCCGAAACACTATTATCAGATTATGTCATAGAACAATAAGCTTTATAGAAAAAAATGTGACAATAGTCCCAGAACAAGAATTCTCATTAATTATTGTTCAAATGACCCAAGACAACTGTGTTCATTGATGTTAATGTAACGTTTGTATTTCATGCCATCTTTTGCGGTGCTATTCGCCGTTTTTTCACTGTAATTGTAATTGTACGACAAATCCAGAGCCTTAAAACGTCAACAAAGAGATTAGACGTCGTTCGGCGGGAGCAGCGCCATGCGGCTCTGTGGACTAGATACTTCGGATGATTAATTCAAAGGCTTAAAGAACACTTATAAAATGTTTCTTTACTTTTCCTTTCAGAAGCTACTCAACACCCACTTTAGTATAGGTGACCACGAGCAAGGTGGATTCGATCTCAGAACAACTGCCTTTGATTTGAGAAAAGGACACGAGATCTCGAGGAGCGAGTTTACGTCTGCTGTCGTGTGACGTCACGGGGTCGTCTGCTTCTCCTGCCCTAACAGACATGGCGGCGCTTTTGATATACCCCGATAAGACTAGGCACGTCGGGAAAGGTTGAGGTGAGACATGGGGCCAGCTGATTCAGAAATGCCGAGTGGGGTCGCTTGAATTCATGTGAACCTTACAAGCAACAAAAAAGGGATTTGTTGGTCAGACTGGGTTCGCTTGAAAGCGCCGTGTGTAATTAGCATCTGTCGACGAATACTCCTGGATGAATCCCGTTGGATGTTCGGCGTAGGCAGACAGTCAACTGGCCTCAGTCGAACAAGGTTATTTATCACTTGCACAGCGGTGGTTGTGATTCGTGGGAACCCGGACAGTATATGTCGGCATACTTCGGCAGCTATCGAGCAGACTCTGGGGGCGGAATGTTCACATCGGACGGAGATTGCTGGGTTTATTTTTGCAGATAGTTATCAAATAATTGAGAGACTATAGACTCCGATGGGAGATTATGTATGGCTGAATCTGTCAGATGGGTTGAGCTTTCCCCTGATATCTGAGTACACAGGAACACCTAGTCTAACACCATGGTGGATTTGTTTAACTAATGTTTTAGTGCTAATTAATGAACCGATCTGGACAATGTTTGTTTGTTTGTTGTTTAACGCCGCACACAGCAATGTTCCAGCTATATGGCGGCGGTCTGTATGTAATCGAGTCTGGACCAGACAATCCAGTGATTAACATCATGACCATCGATCCACGCAATTGGGATCGATGACGTTCATCAACCAAGTCAGCGAGCCTGACCACCCGATCCCGCTAGTCGCCTCTTACGACAAGAATAGTCGCCTTTTACGGCAAGCATGGGTTGCTGAAGACCTATTCTACCACGGATCTTCACGGGTCGATCTGGACCTCAAAAGGCCCACAGAATGTTGTATAGCGTTACTTGACACATTAAGGACTAAGAATAATTTAATCACGAATTGACTTGACTAAATTCAAGATGAAAGTGGTGCTTTTATTGTTGTTTTAGTGAGTAAGTGATTGTTATCAAAATGAATAATATGTATGTATGATCATTGAAAATGTAACGATTAGTGACAATGTGTCATTCAAAACTACTTTCTATATTCATACAAAATAATTTTTATATACACAGTTTTAGCTTGTAGATTTTTAGTAACCTCTTTGATACAAGAAAACACGTGATTTAATAAATATACAGTGGAACCTCGTTATTCCGGATCCTTGTAATCCGGACACCCCGTCATCGTGTTCGTTACCTTCTGGAACGTCTATGTAATTCATAGGGACCTTACTACATACCAAAGACTCGTTAATCCGGCCGATTTTAATACGGAAAGTATCATCCGGATTAACGGGGTTTAAGTGTATTTCCTGTCGATACAACAACCCTCATGATTGTAAGCTATGGGAAGCGGCCAGACTGTGATAATTGTCTTCTCGGTATAGCAAGGGACAGTTGTAGACAGGTTGACGTCAGTCGGCTTGCGCTGTTCAGAGTCAACCCTTCGCGAAATACATTCCCAGTAAACGTCCACACAAAGGTAGACATAGAAGAGAATCAGTTGTGAAATTATACAGTAACTTGGTTGGTTAGTTGGTTTGTTGTTTAACGCCGCACTCAGCAATATTTCAGCTATATGACGGCGGTCTGTAAATAATCGAGTCTGGACCAGACAATCCAGTGATTAATATCATGAGCATCAATCCACGCATTTGGGATCGATGACATGCATCAACCAAGTCAGCGAGCCTGACCACCCGATCCCGTTAGTCGCCTTTTACGACAAGCATAGTCACCTTTTACGGCAAGCATGGGTTGCTGAAGACTTAATCTACCCCGGAATCTTCACGGGTCCAGGAACATGGTATTTGGTATTGGTATTGCATTCAGAGCAGATACACAGAATATTTTGAACTGTCTATCCAAACACGATGTCTCATTTCAAATACAACATAGATTCTTACCATCAACTTCTGATATACCAAAGTTTGACATATCGAAATCAGCTGTCACGATCCTGACTGAAACTCTGATCTCCGACGATTATCTTTAGCGTTCATGGGAAGAACAAGCTATGCGAATAACATACTTTGGATGTAACGAACTAATTTGTCATTTGGGTCTCTTTTGACAGGAGTTGACGAGTCACGATAATTTATTCTAGTTAACAGACATTCTGCAACCCCCCACCCTACACTTGATAACGCAGTATGTTGTGTATGAGATATTACATGATGTAGAAATGTACATATTTAAAAGGGAGTGGATGTATTTAAAATCAATCTGTATTTGTACATATTTTGAAATGTATACATGTGTATATATGCATATGTTAACGATTCTATACCACAGAAATAAAATATGTAATTTTTTCATCCGAGTCTTCTGTGTTTGTCTCTTTGTCTCGGTGAACTCCTTCTTCCTTGCAGAAATGGAGTGAGCTGTGAGCTTGCCTGTTGAATAATTGATAAAAGTGACAAAGCATTTCCATTATCAAAATAAAATTTCAGCTAAAATCACAGCTTCTTAACGATTCCGCTATATAATAAGCATATGTTTATGAATCCCCATGCAATGGTTATGATACTATGTGTTCCCAAAACAGGTGAGCGTATCCTGCCCCACCGGTGGCACAAATCACAAACACATGCAAAGTCAAGTGAAGTTTTCACCTGAAAATTAACCACAACAACATATAGTACAAGTCATTTCAGGCTGTTGAATCGGACATATGTTTGGTCACTGATGCGTCAAATTAGGAAATGTGCTCCAGTTGTCTACCATAAAAGATTTTGAAAGCTTTGGCAATAAAGAGTTCGTTTCAACAAAAATCAGTAACTGGATTATCTGGTTCATCACTTGTCTGGGAAAAGACTCGATTGTTTACAGGCCTCAGAGTGAGTGAGTGAGTATGGTTTTACGCCGCTTTTAGCAATATTCCAGGAATATCACGGCGGGGGACACCAGAGATGAGGTGAAATTGGGTTTAACGTCGCGTCCAAGATTATTGCACTTATATAGCGACGTGCATGTACGTGTGTGTGTTTGTGTGGCTGCTTGTACTAGTCCGGACACAGTATACTGACTCCGAGCCAGTCCTTGTTTTAACCCCTTAATGCCGAGCGCAAGACAGGGTAACAACAAGTACCATCTTTTAACGTCTTTTGGTATGACGCGGCTGGGGATCGAACCCCGGACCTTCCGCTCTCCGGGCGGACGCTCTACCACTGGACCACGGAGGCGGTCGGGGGACACCAGAAATGGGCTTCACACATTGTACCCATGTCGGGAGTCGAACCCGGGTCTTCGGCGTGACGAGCGAACACTTTAACCACTAGGCTACCCGACCGCCCCTACAGGCCTCAGAACTACAAAACACGCAAAACACAAAACACTTACTTCTCTACGCAACTAGTGTGTATGACGGAGGCTACCTGTAGGGCAGGACCCTTTTCGCGAACACCTGGTGTCATCACAGATTTTCAGTAATCCCATTTAAATATTCACTGCTGGTATGCCCTTTACGAGCAACGTTTCTGCAGATAAAATAGACTGGCAATAGTTCTCTGTCGGTGACGTATCATATCTACTAAAGCATTCGAAGTTAACGTTGTAGGCCAGTGTGTGTTTCTTCACATCTGTAAAATGTTTGAAATCCATTATTGGTGTGCCCCGCGTCCCATTGTTGGAATTTTGCTAAAAGAGGGGTAAACCAATATTCACTCATCGCATTGAAATCGATAATTGATTCTGGATCAGTTTCAATCCTTTAACCTCTCTTGAACAGGAAACACTTGGGCCCTCTTGCAGAAAGCGATCGTGCCTCTACATAGAGTTTAACTACCACATGTCAACATAGGTTTCTAAAAGTTATAGCTGATGATTTAGTGTTGTTTTTAGTGAAGCTTACAAACACATATCGATCCAAATTTGACGCATCAGTGACAAGAATGATGCTCGATGCAAACCCCTATTTTGACATGTACCATGTGTTCCCGTGTTTTTTTCCATTTTGACAGCCTCCTTGGTCCAGTGGTAGAGCGCGGTTCGGGGTTCGATCCCCGGCCGCGTCATACCAAAAGACGTTAAAAGATGGTACTTGTTGTTACCCTGTCTGGCGCTCGGCATTAAGGGGCTAAAACAAGGACTGGTTGGCTCGTAGTCAGTATACTGTATGAGTAGGGTATTTATGTTCAACTGCGGCATGGTATCTCAGTAGGCTAGTACTTTAAATCGGCATCAGTCCGGACTAAGGGGCATTAAGGGGCTAAAACAAGGACTGGTCGGCTCGTAGTCAGTATACTGTATGAGTTGGGTATTCATGTTCAACTGCGGCATGGTATCTCAGTAGGCTAGTACTTTAAATCGGCATCAGTCCGGACTAAGGGGCATTAAGGGGCTAAAACAAGGACTGGTCGGCTCGTAGTCAGTATACTGTATGAGTAGGGTATTCATGTTCAACTGCGGCATGGTATCTCAGTAGGCTAGTACTTTAAATCGGCATCAGTCCGGACTAAGGGGCATTAAGGGGCTAAAACAAGGACTGGTCGGCTCGTAGTCAGTATACTGTATGAGTAGGGTATTCATGTTCAACTGCGGCATGGTATCTCAGTAGGCTAGTACTTTAAATCGGCATCAGTCCGGACTAAGGGGCATTAAGGGGCTAAAACAAGGACTGGTCGGCTCGTAGTCAGTATACTGTATGAGTAGGGTATTCATGTTCAACTGCGGCATGGTATCTCAGTAGGCTAGTACTTTAAATCGGCATCAGTCCGGACTAAGGGGCATTAAGGGGCTAAAACAAGGACTGGTCGGCTCGTAGTCAGTATACTGTATGAGTAGGGTATTCATGTTCAACTGCGGCATGGTATCTCAGTGGGCTAGCACTATAAATCGGCATCAGTCCGGACTAGTACAAGCAGCCAACACACACACACACACACACACACACACACACACACACACACACACACACACACACACACACACACACACACACACACACACACACGCACGCACGCACGCACGCACGCACGCACGCGCGCGCACACACAGACAGACAGACACACACACACGCATACGTCGCCATATAAGTGCAATAATCATGGACGCGACGTTAAACCCCACTGCACCTCACCTCACGTGTGTTTTGGGTGAACACTTGACTTGCCTTGTCATGTGTTAGTGACGAGTGGCCCTGGTGCGGCAGGATACGCTCACCTTTTCACGAACTCATGATATCATCACTAAATGATGCTGTTTTATAACCACCTGCTCATGATGCACTCGGAATCGTAAAACGGACTCTGCTTTCGGCAAATATGTTTTATGATTATGGAAATAGTTTTATCGTTTTATTAATATTGATTGAAAAAGAAATCCCGAGGACCAAAATAAATTGATACCTTGTACTTGCGAGATTTTGTAATAATTTGATATTTAACCATTGACACGGAACAGTAGAGATGACATAGCAGCTAAGTGAGTGAAGGAGTGAAACTTTGTCAGTTGGTATAGCTGGTGTCATATGTACGGTGGCCCATAAGGGACATGGAGTGTGTTTTTCCATATTTTGATATTTCACTTACTTTTATCGTTACCTTTTGCAAATTAACACGATTTGTCTTACAAATATGTGATAAATCATGTGTAAAGAAGATATTGAATCGCTGAAAAATGAAACGAAAATGTCAAAAACTAAAATGATAATGTCAAAAAAC